AATTTTTTTTTAAAAATTAGATGTTAAATATTTTCAAATCCCAGAAGTTATTTGAACTCATTGATATGGAGGATCAGCTGTCTGGAGTTTCAGCATCACAGTATGGTGTTTACAAATGGTTGAGATGATAAAATTAATGAGGCTTTTTTGCACAATAAAGAAGAGATCTCACAAGAGAAAAATATTGAATGAAAGAAGTCAGCTATCAATTGCTGTGTGACTCGCACTTAGTTTGGCTTCCTGGCTTACCTTGTGGTATCTCTCTCTAGGATGTGTCCTTGCCATTGTTATCTACCATAACACATGCCTAGCATGGTTCCCATCAGAACTGGTGGCATGCTTTGAACTTTCTGCCTCAAAAACTAAGAGCAAAATTCATCTGTTTTTAAGTACACAGCCTCATCTAGTAGATGTGTACTGAGTGTTCCACTCAACAGTATCAGGACATACATTTTTCTTGGCTGTACATGGGTCATTCTCTAAAATCATATATTACCCAAAGAATGAGCTTAAGGAAATAACATGGAATTGAAGCAATCCCATGGATATTATCTGAGATAGTGCAATAAAGCTGGAAACTAATGACAAAAAATTTCACAAGAATCCCATAAAAACATGGAAATTAAATAACACTCTCCTAAACAAATAGTAGGTCACAATAGTAGTCACAAATTAAAGTACAAATTAAACAATATCTACAATGGAACAAAAATGCAAATACAACCTACTGGAATCCTAGGGATGAAATGAAAGCATTCCTCAGAAAGGAATTCATAGTGGTAAACTTTGACATTAGGAGAATTAAATGAACACAAATAAACAATATAATGCTACACCTCAAACTTTTAGAAAAAGAAAAGTGAGTCAATCAAAAGCCCAAAGAAGGGAGGGAATTATAAAAATCAGAGCAAAAATTAATGCAATTGAAAATAAGAAAACAATACAAGGGATTAATGATTCAAAGAGTTAGGTGTTGAAAGCATAAATAAAATTGATAAAAACCTAACCAACCTTCCCAAAAAGAGGAAAGAAAAAAACTCAAATCCATACAGTAAGGAATGAAAAGGATTTAATCACTGCAGACTGTCTGGAAATACAGAAGAACATAAATGCTGACTTTGAAGATCTTTTTCTTGTAGGCTCAAATAACACAGAAAAAATGGACAGATTCCTAGAAACATATGAATTACTAAACCTGAATGAAGAAGACTTAGAACTTCTGAATAACCCAATTTCAGTTAATGAAATTGAAAACGTAATTAGAACCTTAAGAACAAAGAAAGGCTCAGGTCCTGATGGATTCACTGCTGAATTCTACAAGAAATTTAGGGAAGACTTAAAGTCAACAATCCTCCAACTCTTCAATGAAATTGAAGGGAAGCAAGTCTCCCTAACTCATTCCTGGAAGAAAGTATTGCATTAATAGCAAAACCAGAGAAATACTCAGCCCAAAAAGAGAACTACAGGCCAATCTCCCTAATGAACATAAAAGCAAAAATCTCAGTAAAATACTGGCAAATAGAATGTATGAAATAATCAAGAAGATTATGCATCAAGATCAAGTGGGATTCATTATAGGACTAGAGGGATGGTTCAACATATGCAAATCAATAAACATAATACACCACATCAACAGAGCCAAAGACAAGAATCACACAATCATGTCATTAGATGCAAAAAAAAGCTTTCAAAAAATCCAGCTCTCATTCATGATAAAAACCCATGGAAAATATCAGAATAGATGGTCTTTACCTCAATCCAATCTGATAAAAGTCATATATGATAAACCAACAGCTAACAACTTCCTAAATGGACAAAAACTGAAAACTTTTGGCTTAAAATCAGAAACAAGACAAGTATGTGCATTATCATCACTTCTACTCAATATAGCGCTAGAAATACCAGCCAGAGCAGTTAAACAAGAGAGAGAAATAAAAGTAATAAGGGTAAGAAAGGAAGAAGTTAAATTATCATTATTTGCAGGTGATATGATACTATACATAGAAGACCCCCTAAACTTCATTGAAAGACTTCTAGATGTAATAATCTAATTCAGTAATGTAGCTGGAAACAAGTTCAACACTCAAAAATTAATAGCGTTCTTATACATAAACAACAAACTCACTGAGAGAAAAATAAGGGAAACCACACCCTTCCTATAACATACCTCAAAATTAAATGCATAGGAATTAATCTACAATGGATTATTGCACAGCCATAATGAAGGCCAAACTTGAGACTTTAATAGGTAAATGGTTGCAGCCTGATTACTTAGGAATTATCTGACTTCTTTCACTCAATATCTATAAATTGAAAATTACAGTACTCTGAAAAAGGATATTGAAGAGGTTTTCAGAAAATGAGAAGATATCTCCTATTCATTGATAGAAAGAACAAACACTGTGAAAATGTTCATTCTCCGAAAATTGTTATACAAATTTAATGCAATTGCAATCAAAATACCATTTGCATATCTCTAAGATCTACAGAAATCATCCTTAAAATTGGTCTGGAACCACAAGAGAGCAAGAACAGCAAAGGCAATTCCGGGCAACAAGGTCAAAGCAGGAGTCATCACAATCCTTGATGTGAAATTATACTACAAAGCTACTGTGATAAAATCACATGGTACTGGAAGAAAAACAGACCTGAAGACCAATGGAATAGACTGGATGATATAGCCACAACTACAAATACACTCAGCCATCTCATCTTTGACAAAGGGGCCAAACATGTTCACTGAAAGAAAGATAGCCCCTTCAATAAATGGTGCTGGAAAAACTGAATTTCTATATGCCAAAAACTAAAATGAGACCCATATCTATCACCATACACTACACTAAAGTGAAAATGAATCAAAGTTCTAAATATCAAAACAGAAACAATAGATCTACTGGAAGATAAAGTAGGTAAAAATTTTGATGACATAGGTGTATGCAGAGAGCTCATCAATAGAAATCCAACTGCACGGGAAACACTTCCCAGCATCAACAACTGGGGTTTCCTCTTAAGAAAAAGTTTTTGCATGTCAAAGAAATCTTCCATAGAGTAAAAAGAAAACCCACAAATTGGAAAATTATCAGCCCACTGTCCCTCATACAAAGGACTTCTGTCTAGAATATATAAAGAATTTTAAAAAATCAGGCCCTTCAAATTCAAAAATGGGCATCTGAGGTAAATACACATTTCTCAGATGAATAAATACAAATAGCAAATACATATATGAAAAAATGTTCAGCATCATTGGCCATTTGAGAAATGCAATTTAAAACAACTTTGAGATTCCATCTCACCCTAGAAAGAATGGCCAAGATTAAGAAATCAACCAACAACACATGCTGAAGGGGCTGTGAGTAAAAAAGAACACTTCTGTACTGCTGGTAGAAGTGTAGACTGTTACAGCCACTGTGGAAATCAGTTTGGAGGCTCCTCAGAAAGCTAGAATCAGAGATCCCATTTAACCCAGCTATCCTCCTTCTGGACATTTTCCCAGAAAAATTGAAAACATCATTACCAAAGTGATGCATGTGCACCCATCTTGACAGCAGCACAATTTTAATAGCCAAATCTTGGAAACAGCCCAAGTGCTCATCAGCCAAGGAAAAGATAAAAAGATAGGCATTTTTATGCAATAGAGTACTACTCAGCTATAAAGAAAAACTGTATCAAAACTTTTATAAGTAAATGAATGTGAGGAGTCCATATTCATAAGTTAAATAAATGACTCATATGTGTAAATAACATATTGTCTCCTTAATTAAGAAACTGAAACATTATATATTTTCCAAAATCTATAATGAACACTATATAAGAGTAAGAAACTATTCAAAGAAAAAATAATTAGAATAAAGGAACGGAGGAAAGAAGGAGGAGAAAAGGAAAAAAGACATTAAATTTGTGTGTGTGTGTATGATAGCTAAACTGATTATATTGTTAGTTGTATTAGTCATTTTAAAATAAGTTAATACTTATATATTTAGATAAATTTTTCATGTCTATATCTGTTATTCTAAGTAACCCTCTTGAAGGTAGCAATATACAGTATTGTTACCACTGTCAAATTCCTATCATCTTATTTTATAAAATTATACAGTTATTGCATTTGGTTTCTTGCTGTTTGTCTGTACCCCTTTTTTGTTTTTCTGTTCTGTCTCTTTTCTAATCTTAAATAAGGAAAAAACTAGGATCTCATTCCACCCAACCACTCCCTATCTGGGTACCTTCCTAGAAACATTAAAGACACCATAACCCAGCACTATTTGTGCACCCATGCTTATAGCACCACTGTTTTTAATAACTAAATCTTGGAAACAACACAAATTTCCATCAACTCATGAATGGATTTTTTAAAAAATGGTATTATTATACAAAAGAGTACTACTCAGCCATAAAGAAGGATAAACTTGAGACTTTCATAGGTAAATGGATGCAACGTGGGACCACACACATAAGTGAAATAAATCAGACCTACGTAGGTGAGAAATAGAAAGACTGAGTTCTAAGATGTATAGTAGATACTGTAAAATGGGAAGAAATTGTTCAATAGGAAAAAAGAACTAGAAAGATTGAAAGAGAAAAGGACAGCAGGGAAAAGAGAAAATTTTACTCTTAGTGGATCTTAGATCTTTAAAAAGGAAGTTTTGGCCACTATTGACTAGAGAAATTTTATGACCATATCGTGTAAGCTGAGCAACTACTTTAAAAATAACAATATGTGATGTAGTAACTTTTGTTATTCTCCTATTATTTTGCTATGAAATTATTTTACTTTTTTCCTATAAAATAAAAAATTAAAAAATTGAAAAAGAATGGAAGTGAACCCTGCAGTCATCAAGGGGAAGAGGCTTCTTGACAGAGCAGTGAGTACAAACTACTGAGAGTAGATTTCCCTTCTATGTTTCTGGATTTTGGCTCCCACTCTGAATAAAAGTGGAAGCAATGAAAGGAACAGTAACAGGGAGCTGACCTGTGTTGCCTTGTGTTTCATGTGATTTTTCTAGGAACTGACTGAGCATAGACTACAACAAGACAGAAGCACCTAAAGCATGAAGTTACAGCATCCTCTCCAACAAGGAGGCTTTCATAGGACTGCAACAAATCAAGAAGGGAGAAAGATCAGATTTTGGATACCTGATAAGGTGTAGCCCATAAAATTTCCTCATAGATAAGGTTGGGGTGGGAAAGAAAGACTCCAAATTTGATGGTTTGATCGTTGTTTCGTGCCTAAGTCTTGTAACCCGATCAAGTACTGTTAAAATAACAATATACAATATATTAACTAGTGTTAATTTCTTACTTTTTTGAAATTCTGTATTGTTTCTATCCTTTTGTTGTTTATTTTGCTATTGAAAATTACAAAAAAAAAAGATTTGGAGGTCAACCATCTGGAAGAATAAAAGTGCCTCTCATGAATCCTGAGGAATTATTTGAAAAACTCAGTTCATTTACAGAAATTTTAATTGTGAAAGATTTATTTCCATCCAAAAAACTTGTCATATAGGTAGTTAGACATATAACTCAGAGTTAGGAAAAAGGACTGAGCCAAAAGTGTAAAAATAGAAACTATAGATATATAACTAGAAAACTCTGCCAGTCTCTGACACCTCTAGACCTAATTACCTGAGCTTTGTCTTCTGTCCTTCATTCCTTTCATGATTTCCTTCAAACCTCATTCATATTTTTAAGAGCTCTGTCTATCCCTTTTCAATGTTCTTCAGACAAATGACTCAAACTTTCTAATGATTATGGTACAGCAGAGCCCCTACCCTATATTGCATGTACCCTTCTTAAGAGGCAGATTTGGAAATAAACTGTGAAATCTTATGTTCATTCACCATACAACCATGAACCATGAGCATATATTTTTCCTTAAGGAATAGCTAGCTCAGTACTATAAAGAAATAGAGAATTTATTTATATAACCACAAAATCCCCCTTTATGTCTGATAATACCTTTGATATGAATCTTTGCCATTGGAACCCAAGCCTACAGTACAGGAGACACTATATAATCAATGAACCAGTGAAATAAAACTAGAAATTTTACCCAGGCAGTTAAATGACTTTACAAAGCATGAACTACGTATACTCAACTCATTCAGGTGTGATCCGGTCAGAAGAGCTAGGTAACTTGGAAAGGTATGTCTCACTCCCCAAATCCATCATTCAATCTGCTTTCTGGCTGCCATGATGTCAGCAGGTCCTCCATTCCCTCTGCAAGCTGTCTCTTCTTTGGAGCTGTCAACAGTGAACCACAATATACAGCTTCTGATACTTTTTTCTTTTTTAAAATTTTATTTAAATAAAGACTAACAAAACAGAAAATGGGTAGAAATAATACATACTTTCAAAGAAAAAAATAATAAGAAATCACTAGTTGATGATTACAGATTGTCCTCTTACAAATAGTTATTCAAGACACTAAAGTGGAGCAAATAAAGTGGGGATTCAAACAGTGAGACTGCAATAAGTTCTGTTCAACTATCCATCAAAAACTTAGAAATATGATTATCAATCCTATACAATTAAACATACATTCAGTTATCCATATCTTCAATTATGTTGAGACTGAACAAACACAAGCAGTCTAATATCACTCTGAACAAAGAATAGTACTATTTCTGGGTTTCACATTATGACCCTCCAGGATCAGCACTGGGTGTTTTAGTGTCTCTTTTTCTTCAAAGTATCTGTTCATTTTATCCTGTGTCATAAGATCACTTCTCATAAACTGTTTATAGATTCTACACATGCATAAGCCTTAACATGTATTTCTATCCGTTCTATATTAGAGGGAGAAACAAAGCAAAGTAAGACAAAAAAAACCATATTCCTATAAACACATAAAATGAGAAAGACATATAAGACTGTTGTACAAGGAGTTCTACCATTGTTTCTGTGTTGTCTCTTGTTATCTTCAATAGAATTGGCTATATCATCAGACATCATACAATTGAACATATCAGTACTAACAGTATTAATAAAAATAAAACTTCATATATGTAAAAAACTTCAAAAGCAGGCAGTTATCAAACCAGAATGTGTATTGTAGAGTCTTGTCATCTTCAGTTTAGTTGCCTATACTCTCAGACTTGATACTATCAATCATATCAGCTTTGAATAAAATCTGTTGATACCAAACAGGAATCAAACAAACCAGATTTAACTAAGATCAGTCATGATAAAACAGTATAAGTCATACAGGGCTCTAGATTAAGATAATAGGAAATTAAAGATGATTACTGTGCTATATCCTGATGTTTTTGGGATAGCAGTCTGTGCACTCAAATCTAATGCAAGTAGAAAATTGGAACAGAATAAATCTATCAAAAAGAATAAAATCTTCCTATCCATGAGCAAGGGATGTCTTTCCATTTTCTGAGATCATCCTCAATTTCCTTTTTCAGTGATTATAATTTTCACTGTATAAGTCTTTCGGTAGAAACCTTGGAGACATAGGAGTAGGTAGAGAATTCATGAACAGGACTCAAACCGCACGGGAAATACTTCCCAGAATCAATAACTGGGACCACTTCTTATTAAAAAGTTTCTGCATGTCAAAAGAAATCTCCAGCATAGTGAAAAGAAAACCCACAAACTGGGAAAAGATTTTAGTGAACTCTCTCTCAGACAAGGGACTCTTGTCTAAAACATATAAAGAATTAAAAAACTCAGACCTCCAAAATTCAAAGATCCAATCCAAAAATGGGCATCTGAGATGAATATGCAATTCTCAGATGAAGAAATGGCAAATGGCAAATAAATACATGAAAAAATGTTCATCATCATTGGTCATTAGAGAAATGCAAATTAAAACCACACTGAGATACCATCTCACCCCTGAAAGAATGGCCAGGATCAAGAAAACCAACAACAACAAATGCTGGAGAGGCTGTGGGGAAAAAGGAACTCTCCTGCACTGTTGGTGGGAGTGTAGACTGGTACAGCCTTTGTGGAGGTCTGTCTGGAGATTTCTCAAAAAGTTGGGATTGGAAATCCCATTTATTCCAGCTATTCCACTTCTAGATCATATTCCCAGAAGAACTGAAAGCATCATACCACAGTGATATATGTGCACCTATGTTTATAGCAGCACAATTTGTAATCGCCAGATCTTGGAAACAACCCAAGTGTCCATCAACTGAGGAATGGATAAAAAAGTTGTGGTATTTCTATACAATGGAGTATTATTCAGCTATAAAGAAGGATCACATTGAGATATTTATCAATAAATGGGCGCAGCTTGAGACCATACTCATAAGTGAAATAAATCAATCTCGCATGTGTGAATACTGAATAGTTTCCCTAATGTAAGTAATGATTCAAATATATAAAAATATGTGGTAATCATGATTCCCCATTATGTGGCCTTTAAGCCTTATAAAGTTTTCACTTATTAATTGGAAAGGCTTTATTCTGGGCTTCTTGATATGGAAATATTTGAAGCTATAGTATATGAAGTTTTATCCAAATATTTCAAGGAAAAAGACAGACACTATGGTAACTACTATTAAGTTGGGTTATTTGGTGGTGAAGCACTAGGTTGCAGAAACAGTCATGCTTTGACCTGTATTGTTATATTATTATGTCCTGTTTTATCTCAATCTCTCCCTTATTCTTTAAAAAAATTATTTAGTTATTTCTTATGCTTGTTTTAATTAAGGGGAAAAATTTAAAAAATTAGCAGGATATATAATAGTAACTTTTTTTGATTTCCTATTAACTTGTTTTGAAGTCCTGTAATACTCCCACGATCTTGTTTTGACTGATTAGACTCTGTTCCATTCTGTATGATAGTATCAAGTTTGAGGGTATAGGCAACTACTTTGAAGGCAATAAGATTCACTAAGATGCCCATTCTGGTTTGACTATTGTCTCGTTTGGAAGTCCTGTAATGTTTACAATGCCTAAGTTTTATTGGCCTTGTTCTCTACTGTTTTGTTCAACTTTATAATATCTAATGAGATAGACAATTCTTTTTAAGGAAACAAGAGACATCGTTGATAACCATTGTTGATAATCTTGTACTCTGTTTTACATCATGTGCTATGTCTATCCTTGGTTTTGACTGACAGCTTTGTTTTGCCATATTTGACTTTATTCTCTTCCCCCCCAAAAAAGTAATAAGAACTAAGGAGTAATAAAATCCAAAATGTGTAAATTTTGTTTTAAAAAAAGAGGGGAAAAAAAAGAGCTCTAACGGATATAACAGCAAGTGTGTTTAGGGGTGTTAAATAGCTGACTATATTAATGTTTTTGGATCATTGAACACAGCTATTTGCAGTCTCTCTGTTTGAATGTCCACTTTGTATTCTTTGATACTGTGATTTGAGCAACTATTTCTAAGATGATAATATATAATCTATTAACATGTGATTTCTTACTGTTTTTTTTGTAGTTCTGTATTACGTGTACCCTTACACCACTTTGTTTTGTTTTGTGTTTTTCTCTTTTTCCTTTTAAATAAAATTAAAAAAAGAATAAAATCTATCTAAGCAGAGTGGTGTGAGTAAGTAGTGGTGTGAGTGGTGTGGTCTGATACACTATTAACCGTATCTTCTGCCATATTTTTTAAGACTCTCCCTCCCCCTTTAACTGCCCCAGGGTATACTGTGCAATTTGGAGTCTAACCAAGACCCTTGGTTTTTAAATTGGGGGGGGGCAACCTGCTATTTACCTAAGTGGTTCCAAACCTTCTCCCTCCTGGACTTAATCTCAAATTGTGTTCCTTTACCTATTAAAGCCTATCTTTCCAACCTATCCACAAATAAAGGTCTAGTTGCCCCTATTACTCTCTGGTTCTCTGTCACATAGAGCATAGTTTTCTCATATTTCATTTTTAGTCCATATAATCTTTTTCATGTTAACTATATTTCCTATTAATAGAATCTCAGTGGACCCTGCCTCTTGATCTACTCCACATGAGGTTCTTTTTTTTTTAATTTAGTGTATCAAGGTTGTCTATATTAGAGATTATAAACAACCTTCTCTGCCTTATTTCTGTTATGGTATTTTTTTGCCATCAGTTGTCTGTCTTCATTCTGTTTTTGCACCATTAATTGAGGCTTCTCTACCACTGTTCCTGGAATCCTTGTACTTTTCTATCCCTCTAGAATGCCCTGCAATATTCTCTGTAGAG